CTAAAGGCTCAATTCGTATCCTAAAAGTTCAATTCATACACAAAAATTTCAATTCATATCCTAAAGCCTCAATTCATATCCTAAAAGTTCAATTCATACACAAAAATTTCAATTCATATCCTAAAGGTTCAATTCATGTCCTAAAGGTTCAATTCATATCCTAAAGGTTCAACTCATATCCTAAAAAGTTCAATTCATATCCTAAAATTTCAATTTATAAACTAAAATTCCAATACATAAACTAAAAGTCCAATTCATATCCTAAAGGCTCAATTCATATCCTAAAAGTTCAATTCATATCCTAAAATTTCAATTTATAAACTAAAATTCCAATACATAAACTAAAAGTCCAATTCATATCCTAAAGGTTCAATCATATCCTAAAGGCTCAATTCATATCCTAAAAGTTCAATTCATACACAAAAATTTCAATTCATATCCTAAAGGCTCAATGTCACGACCCCAAATTCCCAAACCCGATCGTGATGGCGCCTCTCGTGAAGACAAGGCCAGCCAGACCAAACAGAACACCTCTTTTAAACAGTTAAATACCATAAACAGTTGTTAAACATGATATAATAGTCATAATTTACGGAAATAACGATAACAATAGGAGAAACCATCCCGACACAGCCCAAATCGGGGTGTCACAAGTCATGAGCAACTAAGAAATCCAGATATGAGTCTACTGAACACTAAATCCGGTGTAATAGTTCTAGAAACATGAAAATGATAAGATAGGGGAGGCACGGGGGCTGCGGACGCTGACAGCTACCTCGTAATCTCCAAATCACTGCCTGGACTGGGAGGATCAGCACTAAGGAGCGGTCTCTGCTATGCCTGAATCTGCACACACGGTGCAAGGGGTAATGTGAGTACTCCGACCCAGTGAGTAATAATTATAAATAATGGCTGAAAGTATGAAAGCACGTAAAGGCACAAAGCCATTCTATATTAAGCAGTAAAATTACTTAAAGCAGTAAATCAGGGAAGAACCCCAATGAAATCTCTGTAAAACAAGTAAAACATGTAATTTAGTAGGAAAATAACAAGTAGAAATCCGCCCCTCGGGCACAGTGTCAATCACTCAAAACAGTATCAGCCCCTCGGGCTCACTCTCAGATCAAATGGGTACCCGCGCTCACTGTGGGTGTGCAGACTCCGGAGGGGCCCCTTACGGCCCAAGCGCNTCCTTCGGCCTGCGAAGTAGCTGCTGCTGTGGTGGCTGAAACTGGCTGAGCCAGGCCAGTTCAAACTGTCAAGATCTGTGCCAAGGTCTCCTATAGACCCGGGATCACGATGGGCACAACTGGTGCCTGAACTGGTGCTGCTGGAGCCTGCTCCTGAGCTATGGAAACTGGTGGATCAACAGGTGCTGCCCTCGCTACTCTGCCTCTGCCACGACCACGACCGCATCCACGGCCTCTGGTGGCCTCAGTGGGTGGTACTGGTGGTCATCCACCTCGTCCGGTAGCGCGATTCCTCGCCATCTGCGAGAGAATAGAATAACAAAAGTTTAGCACTCGGATCAACAAGTTCGCACGACAAGAATTTCAAGAATGTGAGGTTTTTCCTAAAAGGTTCTGCAGCCTCTCGAAGATAAATATAGACATCTCCGTACCGATCCGCGAGACTCTACTAAACCCGCTCATGACTCGTGAGACCTAGTAACCTAGGCTCTGATACCAACTTGTCACGACTCTAAATTCTCAAACCCGGTCGTGATGGCGCCTCTCGTGAAGACTAGGCCAGCCAGACCAAACAGAACACCTCTTTTAAACAGTTAAATACCATAAACAGTTGTTAAACATGATATAATAGTCATAATTTACGGAAATAACGATAACAATAGGAGAAACCATCCCGACACAGCCCAAATCGGGGTGTCACAAGTCATGAGCAACTAAGAAATCCAGATATGAGTCTATTGAACACTAAATCTGGTACAATAGTTCTAGGAACATGAAAATGATAAGATAGGGGAGGCACGGGGGCTGCGGACGCTGACAACTACCTCGTAATCTCCAAATCACTGCCTGGACTGGGAGGATCAGCACTTAGGAGCGGTCTCTGCTATGCCTGAATCTACACACACGGTGCATGGAGTAATGTGAGTACTCCGACTCAGTGAGTAATAATTATAAATAATGGCTGAAAGTATGAAAGCATGTAAAGGCACAAAGCAATTCTATATTAAGCAGTAAAATTACTTAAAGCAGTAAATCAGCGAAGAACCCCAACGAACTCTCTGTAAAACAAGTAAAACAGGTAATTTAGTAGGTAAATAACAAGTAGAAATCCGCCCCTCGGGCACAGTATCAATCACTCAGAACAGCATCAGCCCCTCGGGCTCACTCTCAGATCAAATGGGTACCCGCGCTCACTGTGGGTGTGCAGACTCCGAAGGGGCCCCTTACGGCCCAAGCTCTATATCAAGCCACCTCGTGGCATCATCTCTCGGCACTCGGCCTCACAACACTCAAGCCACCTCGTGGCATATAAAAGTATCTCGGCCCTCTGCCTCATATCACTCAGAATATCCTCACATATGGCCCTCGGCCTCACTCAGTCCGAAAATCATCATAAGCCCCTCGGGCAGTAGCAAAACAGTAGTTCTCAGCCCAAAACATCATTTAGAAATATCATTTATGTTTCAAATCCGAGTAAAAGTGGCTGAGTTTGTAAAACAGTAGATATCAACAGGACTGAGTTCAAGTAGTAATTCAAAGCAGTGAGGAAATAGTGATAGAAATCCCCGAAGGGTTCAAATAACTGGCACGAAGCCCAAATATGGCAATCAGCCCAAATCATGATGATAACAAGTAAACTTCAGTCAAATACGCAGTAATTTCATCAATCGGGACGGACCAAGTCACCATCCCCAACGATGCTCTACCTCACACTCGCTATCCGGCGTGCAAGTCACCTCAATATAGCACTACGATGTGCAATTCCAGGGTTTCAAACCCTCAGGACATCATTTAACATCATTACTCACCTCGAACCGGCTAAATCTCTAGCTCGCTATGCCCTTGCCTCTCAAATCGGCCTCCTCGCGCGTCGAGTCTGACAAAAACCAGAACGAATACGTCACAATAGGCTAAGGGAACAAAACCCAAGCAAAAACAATCGAAAAATATCAAAAATCCCGAAATTAGCAAAACCCAAGCCCCCGGCCCACTTCTCGAAACTCAGAAATTTTTACATCATTAGAGACCTTATCTCCCCACGAGTTCGTACATATCAAAAACACAAGAATCGGAGTTCAATTGACCCCTCAAATCCCCAATTTAGACTCTCTTAATCTCAAGCCCTAAACCTCCATTTTTAGTCCAAAAATTCCTTAATTTTCTGTCCTAATTCATGAAATATCACCATAAAATTGCGTTTTAGGTCCAAAAATCCTTAACTTATCGAAGTTCCCTTGAAATCTCTCTTCAAAATTGCCCAAAAACTCTAAGTCCGAAGTTAAAATGAATAAACCCTTCAAAAATCGCAAAGAAGAACCATTTATACCTTCTGCCCAGTCATAATCGCATCTGCGGTCAATTACCCGCTTTTGCGGTACCGCTTCTGCGGTCATCTCTCCGCATCTGCGGAATTACTTAAATCCCGCCTAACCGCATTGCGGTCCAATAGCCGCATCTGCGGCTCCGCAGGTGCGATCACTATTCCGTATCTGCGGTTCCTGACCTCACTCCTCAAATCCGCATCTGCGGAAAATCCTTCGCACATGTGATGCCGCACCTGCTGTCCCCAAACCGCAGGTGCGAAAACACCAGAAGTAGCAGGAGTTCTGCAATTACACAAGTCCAAAACTCTTCCCGTTAGCCATCCGAAGCCACTCCGAGGCCCCCGGGACCTCAACCAAAAGCACCAACATGACTCAATACCTTATTCAAACTTGCTCCAATCATCAAAACACCTCTAACAACATCAAATTACCCAAAATTCATCGAATTCAAGCCTAAGTTTTCTAAAAACTTCCGAAATACGCTTTCGATCAAAAACCCAACCAAGCCACGTCCGAACGACCTGAAATTTTGCACACACATCCCAATTCACATAACGAAGCTACAGCAACTCTCGAAATTCCATTCCGACCCTCGGATCAAAATCTCACCTACCAACCGGAAATCGCCAAAATACTAAGTTCGCCAATTCAAGCCTAATTCTACACCGGATCTCCAAAACGAATTCCGATCACACTCCTAAGCCACAAATCACCTCCCGAAGCTAACCGAACCATCGGAACTCACATCCGAGCCCTCTAACACATAAGTCAACATCCGGTTGACTTTTCCAACTTAAACCTTCTTAAAAGAGACTAAGTGTCTCATTTCTTACCAAATCCAATCTGAACGCAAACTAAACAACTTGATCACATAAAACACGGATAACGAAGCATAAAGAAGCAGAAATGGGAAAAACGGAGCGGTAACTCATGAGACGAATGGTCGGGTCGTCACACTGTGTAAGCTGCTACTGTATCAGCTATAGATAATCTTCTACCGGGGTAATATTTATCCATAAAGGAGTACCGAAATGATAAGCTTCTTCAGGAGGCTTATTTCCAATAGAGTATCAAATAGATAAATATATTTACGGCGGAGTCCTATATGGATAATCTTCTTCAGGAAGCTTATTTACAACACAGTATTAAATGAACATCCATAATATAATATATTTATAGCAAAATGTTTATTTTTAAATTTTCTGCAGTTTGAGTGGACGAAGAAAGCGATAATATAGGTCGGTCACTTTCTCTACCCCGTTAAAGGGGGGGGGGGGGGTGCCCAAAGACAGCCAATGAGTGAGTTCTAAGTGGACTACTACTATAGGACGGGTACTAGCTAGAAGTTTGTAGAAGATGTTAGAGAGTGCTATACAGATTGCAATTTGGATAATGTTGGTAATATGACATCGACAAGAGAAATGCCACGTGTAAAAGAAGACCACTTTGTGGGGCCTTTTACAAATTCTATTAAAAGGATCATGCAGCAAATTGGATGAAACATCTAGTAGCTAAGAGTAGAAAGAGCAGAAGAAGAGTAAGTAATTAGTGATGGCAATTAGTGCGGTGATGAGTTCATTTAGTCTCAAGCCCTCTCCCTTCACAGTGGAAAAGAGAGCAGTGCGTGGCCTGCCATCAATAGGAAGGTCTTCTTCATCCTCCCGGTTCAGAGTTGAGGCCAGTGGTGGCAAGAAGATCAAGACCGACAAGCCTTATGGTCCGTATGTCTATTATTTTTAATGAAAGATATTTTTAGAATTTTTGGTACTAAAATGTCTATGTACTAGTTGGAGTAAGTAATGACATTTAGGAAAATTATCTTGTCTCTTACTCTTACGAGGAAAATACTCGAAAATGACTTTTTTTGCTGAAAACATTTTTTTGCAAAATTACTTTTTGGTATCTTGGGCCTTGCATGTTTGCATTTTCACTCTTTATTTTTCCCAGCATTTTAGATTAGACTGTCCTTTTACAATATATAGATTCTTATTTCTAATTTTCCTTAGTAGAGTCTTTCAGTGTGGTTTTTCCTTTTGGTTACTGCGAATACATCTGAAAGAGATAGAATATTATGCAAAAAAAATATATTTGCTGATTGATATGACAATTGGTATGTAAATTAATTAGGAATTAATGGAGGCATGAACTTGGAAGATGGTGTTGATGCCTCAGGCCGGAGGGCAAAGGTTTGTCCCTAGACTTCACACACTTTCTCTACATAACATGTCATGCACATTTATGGGAAAACGAAGCAAGAATGTTACCTCGGTCAAATCCAATAACTTTGTGTATTTATATTAAGAAACATCAAATATGCAAAAAAGATTCATATTCAAAACATAGTTACTAACCCTTAATGTTACTGTTATCCTAGAATTTAGAACCAATAAAGCTCAAATAGACACTATTTTTTGGTGACTGCATTTGTTCGATGGTACCTCCCCTCCCCCCTCCCCCCTCTTTTTGTTTTCCTCCGTTCCCGGTAGCATTGGCTGACACTTAAATCTAACATGATCATTATGAAAATCATATCTGAATTTTCAAGAAGATTGTGTACAAAACTAATTTGTTTATGTAAAGCAATTGTTAGGACTATGTAATTAAAGGAATGGTGTAGAAGTAGAAAAACTTTATGAGATCTTTACGTATTGATGAAAAAACTAATAAGGGGTAATAAAGTTACTAATTAATAGATTCGGACTATCACATGTAATGATCATATTAAAATGGTGGCTATGTGCAGGGAAAGGGTGTTTACCAATTCGTGAACAAATATGGAGCTAATGTTGATGGATACAGGTTGGTGATTCTGATTATAAATTCCCAATAGTAGATAATGATACCCCGTAGATTACTCTAAAATTGAAGCATTAATTCATATAAATACTTTGATTAAAATGCAGTCCTATCTATAACCCAGATGAATGGTCCCCGAGTGGCGATGTCTATGTTGGCGGTATAACTGCAATTATGATTATTATAACATTATTTTTACTTCTAACAATTAAATAACCAAGCTTTCATTTCTTTACTAAATAATGTAGTCAGTATAATTGAAAATTGCAGGTACCACTGGCTTAGCCGTTTGGGCTGTCACGTTGGCTGGCATTCTTGCAGGAGGTGCACTACTTGTATACAACACAAGTGCTTTGGCACAGTAGATCATTATGCCTACATAAATTAAGTTGTATCCAAGCTAGTCAATTAAGTACTTTGTAAAGTAAAGCAATGACGAATGCACGAATTTGGCTAAGAACGTTCAAGATTTAATTTATATGTATAAAAAATATAGTATTTAACTTGATCTTATATTACTATAGTTTCTGCCTCGGTTACATCCAATATGCATGTTGTTTTGCTTGGATTACTGGATGATGAAATTTAAAAGTACGTTTAGTGGAATAGCAACTCGTTAAATGCTAGTCATGGCAGAAGAGTTCTCCTCGTATCCGAACAACTTCTTTTCTTCAGATACTTCTAGTTGCGGAAAAAACCAAAGGGTCAATTAAATCCAAAATATAAAATAATAAGACCATCTTTTAACTTATTTGTGGTTGTAACTTGTAAGAATCTTTCCATAAGACCGTTCAGATTAACTGTTCATAGTTTTTATATATATATATATATATATATATATATATATAACAATATCAAAATTTAGAAATCAAATTCGCCATGTGCTTCTATCTTCATAAATAGGTGATGAATTACGATATGATCTGTCATAACCAACAGTTTGACAAAATGTGTTAGAACACAATGGCGGAGCTATAGGAGTTCGGGATTATACTTGTTTTAAGTTATTGGGTTTTAAATTAATAATTTATACATATCCATTGAATTTCTTAATATAAGTATTTCAATAAAAGCTATTGATTCGGTCGAACACTGTAGCTCCGCATTTGTTAGAACAAGATGTGCAGAACTCAAATAAATCTCTGATCAGATAAATATCTAATGTTTAATTCAGCACTAAAATATTTATCGAAGTTAAAAAGATGAGCACCAAAATAATACTATATTTGGAAGACATGGAGAAAGGAACAGTAAGAGGAAGATTTAGTAAAAGAGAACGTGGAGAATTTGTCTGAAGAAAAATATGTAATAGGCTAATCTCTCTCTTTTTTTTTTTTTTGGTTAATTATTAGGCTAATCTCACTATACTCTGTTTGACATGACACATTTAAATTTAAGGGAGGAAAGAGCTTATTACCACTCTTTAGGCACGTTTTTTTTTTCCTGTGAGTTAGATAATTATATAACATAGCAAAAATAGTTACACTATTGTTTGAGAGCTACTGCTCCCGATTGTTGCGCTAACATTGTCTTGCATTACAAGGGGGTTCCCCCTGGTTTTACGTACAAAAACAGTTCCTAGGATATCTGCCCACAGGACCTTGTTTACAAACACCGGAGAAATTCTCAAAAAATTTGTCCTATCAAATAACTTTTTTTCTGCTCCTTTCTTTGCAGGGAGGTCCGCCACCTGGTTTAGTTCTCTGAAATTATGTCCTAGTGCTGGATTTTCCAGTTGCTCCATCAATGACCTGCATTCAAAGATAATAGAGTTATAATGCAGGTTTCCCTCATTTAGTATTCTCACAACCTGTTCAGAATCAGTGCATATTTGTAGAGGTGTGAGTTTGTGTTCAAGTTTTATTGTGAGACCCTGCCATAGAGCTTGGAGTTCAGCCTCTAAGCCGGTGGTATGTGGTAGGCCTCTCATATAACCTAGTACCTAGTCACCCCATTCCTTATGACACCCCTAGTTCCTCCTACTTTTGATTTTTTGCAAGCACCCCCATCAGTGTTAAGCTTGTAGGAGCCTGAAGGAGGTAGCTCCTAATTGATGTGGATTACAGTTGTTTCACCTTTATCCCTGTGTTGGACAGCCACATGGTAGTATTCAGTGGCTCTAGCAATGGTTTGTTTAACAAGGGCAAGGTTCTTTTTCTTTTCAAAAAGATTGTTGTTTCTTGTGAGCTATAGGCTCCAAAAATAGAAAGGCTTGAACTGCATGTTCTTGACCTTGTCCCATGTATCTTCCCAGTGGATCATTGAGAACACAGGGTATGGATGGGAGGTCTTGTTAGCACACTCTAGTGTTATGGACCGCCGGAATGCTCTGGCATTTGAGCATTCAAAGAAGATATGATTGATGCCTTCCACTCCAGAGGAGCAGAAATGACATATTGGGCTTACATTTAAGCCTATGCTGCTTAAATGCTTGGCAGTGGGAAGTCTGTTATGTTGCATCATCCAAGTGAAGCATTTTATCTTATTAAGAACCTTTAGTTTCCAAATCCAGTTGAAGGTATCATCATGGTTTGAATTGGAGTCTAGCTCAGAGCTAAACAGGTTGTAGGCAGATTTGGAGCTGAACAACCCATTACCATTGAGGTTCTAGATGAGCTTATCCATAGAGTTTGTAGAAATAGGGATGAAGGTGGATTGAATAACACACTTATTGTCCCTAGGAATGGGGTAGTGGATAGCATCAGATTTACATTCCCATTGTTGAGGATGGAGCTGATATTAATGGTCAAGTCAGAGTTGTGCCAAGGCCCCTGGAGGATTGTGTTGAGGGGCTGCATATGGGGGATCCAATTATCACTAAGAAGGTTGACTCTATCCCCTTTATGGATAACCCATCTAGAGACCTTAAGACAGACTTTCCAACCTTCCTGAATACACTGCCAAGTCCTAGTTTTAGGTTTAGCTCTAGGATGGTTACCACTACAGTGCTTCCCAGTCAGTACCCTAGCCCACATAGTGTCAGTGTTCTTGTAAAGTCTCCAAGCTAGACTGGTCAGGCTAGCTTTGTTTTTCATGTGTGCCTATTGAAGGCCCAGAATCCCCCCGTTTAGTTGACATGAATAGTTAAAGGGAAATATCCAAATCCATGTCTTATTATTTTCAATAATCCATACTTGTAGCAATGAAATACTATATATTCCTCCANCCCCCCCCCCCCCCGTTCTTAGGTTTATTAATTGTATCCCATTTAATCATGTGCAGCTTTCATTTTTCAGCAGTTGTTCCTCATACAAAGTTCCTTTGGATTTTATCTATCTGGCCGGTGATGTGTGAGGGTAACTTTATAAAGCTCATCACATGGCTGGGAATGCTCCCCAGGCCAGTTTTTCCCAAAGTTGTGCGGCCAGCCATGTTTAACATTTTTGTTTTCCGGCCAGCCAGCCTAGTATTCATACTGTCAATGATGAATTGAAAATCTTTGTTAGTAGGCCTTTTATGGAAGATGGGGAAACCTAGGTATTTACCAAAATCTCTGCTTTTCCTAATTCCTAACAATGAGTTGCAGCTATTGGCCCAATCTTTATGGCAGTTGGTTGAAAAGATAACCTTGGATTTTTTAAAGTTGATCTTTTGGCCTGATGCACTATTAAACTCCTCTAGGGTAGCCAGGATGGCTTCACAACTCTTTTTATTAGCTCTACCAAATAGTGTGAGATCATCAACAAAAAATAGGTGAGAGATTTTTGGTCCATTCCTACTGATGGTGATTGGAATTCAGTCCTTTCTTAGGACTGCCTGGTCAATATACCTTGAGAGCCTCTCCATGCAAATAATGAACAAGTAGGGAGAGATAGGGTCTCTCTGCCTGATACCTTTAGTAGGATTGAAAGGCTCAGTTTGGCTCCCATTGACCATTTGGGAACTTGAAGAACATAAGGGATTCCCTAATGAAAGACCACTCAAGTCTGTCAAAGACTTTCTCTAAGTCTATCTTGAGGATCATGTTGGTATTGGTCCCTTTCATCTTTTGAAAATCAGTGATGTATTCCTAAACAATTATGGCATTTCCTTGTGTTAGAGAGGAAATTGGCCTGTAATATCCCAATAATGGTCTGAAGGAAGGGCTTAATTCTGTTTACTTTGATTTCGGTGACAAACTTGTAAATTCTATTGCACAACCCAATAGGTCTAAAGTTCTTAAGCATAGTGACATTCTGGCATTTAGGAATCAAACACAAGAGGGTCCTATTAACTTCAGGGGGCATGGTTGAGGTGGTGAATACCTTCTGGCAAAAATGGTTGACATAGGTAGACAGGATGTTCCCATATTTCCGGTAGAAGAAAGGGTGCAGCCCATCAGGCCCAGGTTCCTTAAGGGCTTGAAACAGTCCATGACTTTCTTGATATCAGAGTACCTAAGGGGTTGATCAAGGGAAACCCTCATGCTATCAGTAAGGACTAGAGGGCTGCCCTCACTGTAGCATCTCTTGTAGGTGGAAGAGGTATGGGATGTGGTAGCTTTTGGTAGTCTCCTTGATGAGGTTAGGGTCTTTGATCTGATTACCTACTTCATTTGTTAAACTAAGATCCTTTTCTCATTCTTCTGTTGAGGGTGGTTGTGTGGAAGAACCTAGTGTTAGCATCCCCTTCATATAACCAGCTGATTCTGGATTTCAGCTTCCAAAAATCCTCTTCATTTTTAAGGATAGCTGAGAACTCAGCTTGGAGAGTTGATTCTAAGTTTTGAAGGTAGGTGCTGAAAGGGTAGGCATTAGAGTTTTGGATACCATTCAGACTAGCTAGAATGTATTTCTTCTTATGAAAGATGTTGCCAAAGACTAGACTATTCCAGGTGGTCACATTGGCTTTAAAAATGTTGGTGTCCTCCAACAGATCTTCTTTAGAGCTGAAGTTATTTTGAACAATGGAGGGAAAGTCAGGGTTACCACACCACATAGACTCGAGCCTAAAGGTCCTACTATGATTACTGTACTGTTGACTAGTAATGTTTAGGAGTAGAGGACAGTGGTCATAGTGGGTCCTAGGGAGGTGGGTAACAGTGGATTCTGGATATGACTCAATCCAGTCATCAGTGGCAAAGCACATATCCAACCTTTCTAGGATAAGGTCTTGCTTGTGAGTGTATCTTTTATTTGACCAAGTGTACTTTGAGCCTTTGAAACCTAGGTCCTAGTCTACATTGATTCAAACAACTCCAAAAACGATTGCTTCTACTATTGTTAATGTTGTTGCCCCTAAATTTGTCCCTTTTAGGACTTTATTGAAGTCACCTCTTACGAGCCAACTACCTTTATATACAGAGGCCATATCCTCAAGGGACTGCCATAATCTAATTTTATCATTTAAGTGACTACTAGCATAAATAGCTGAGAAAAGCCATTTAGAGACAGCAGCAGTTACCTTCACCATGACATGCATATTCTGGGGTGTCGTACAGACCTCTTCAAGATTCACTACGTCATCCTTCCACTGGACGACTATTCCTCTAGATTGCCCATTGGCAAGGGATTGAAATTAAGCATTGAATTGGAGCTCAGCAGTCAAGTGCGT